AGCCGGGATGGTCTCAATCTCCTGACCTCGTGATCCCCCCGCCTCGGCCTCCAAAAGTGCTGGGATTACAGGCGTGAGCCACCGCGCCCGGCCACATGCATATACTTTTGATAGCACATGTGACGGGATCTCTCTAAAATGGACCTCCTCGTTTCATTCGCAGCAAATTGACCTGGGCCACTCAACACGGCTTTTATCCTGCCTGATGTTAATGCATGTTCTTTCTTTACAGTAAATTCATGGCCCTCAGGTGATACCAGTTTGACATACACGGCATCAGGGCTTTCTCAGCCACCGTAGGTTTTCTTCTCTTCATCCATTTTGTTCTTACGAAATTCTACTTTGCTTCCCCAGGAACTTTAGTCGTTTCTCGTCAGCCCCGCATCCAGCGCAGCTAGGTCCCCTATTCCAGGGCCGCCCCCACCCCGGGCCCCGCAACCCAGCTGCCTGCTCCCTTGGGTGGCTTCCGGGGCAGTGGGAAGAATTACTTCCGCTGGGTCAGAGGCGCTTTCTGTGACTCGCGGGAGATCCATGGGTTTTTTTGTTTTGTTTTTACTGTTTTTTTTTTTAAAGACAGGGTCTCGCCCTGTCACCTAGTCTCGAGTACAGTGGCACAATCTCAGCTCACTGGAGCCTGGAACACTGCGGCCCAAAGCGATCCTCCCGCCTGTCTCCTGAGTGGCTGGGACAACAGGTACATGCCACCATGCCCAGCTCCTTTTGTTTATTTTTTTGTAGAGAGCAAGTCTTACTGTGCTGTCCGGGCTGGTCTTGAACTCCTGGCCTCAAGCAGTCTTTTCACCTCAGCCTCCCAAAGTGCTGGTATTAAAGATGTGAGCCACCATGCCTGATCTTAGAATTATTAGTTATTACTACCTATTAGCTAACAATTGGCTCTATTATTAGCTATTAACTATTCACTATTATTAAAAAGACAAGAGTTGGCAAGGGTGCGGAGAAAAGGGAACCCCTGGTGCCCTGTTGGTGGTAATGTAGATTGAAGCAGCCATTATGGGAAATAGTGTGGGGGTTCCAGAAGGAATTAAAAATAGAGGCCGGGTGTGGTGGCTCACGCCTGTAATCCCAGCACTTTGGGAGGCCATGGCCGTTGGATCACTTGAGGCTATGAGTTCAAGACCAGCCTGGTCAACAAGGTGAAACCCTGTCTCTACAAAAAGAAAAACAAAACAAAACAAAATAGCCAGGCGTGGTGGCACATACCTGTAATCCCTGCTGCTCGGGAGGCTGAGGCACAAGAATCACTTAAACTTGGGAGGCAGAGGTTGAAGCGAGCCGAGGTCGCACCGCTGCACTCCAGCCTGGGCGACAGATAATCTGTCTCAAAAAATAAAAAGAAAAAAGAAATTAAAATGTTGAGACTCTTTCTCAAAAAATAAAAATAAAAAAGACATCAAAAATAAGAAGAAATTAAAAATAAAAAATTTAAAACAACAAGAAATTAAATATGATCCAGTAATCCCTCCTCTGGGTGTGTATCCAAAGAAAGTGAAATTGCCACTCGTAAAGATATCTGCATGCTCATGTTCATTGCAGCATTACTTGTAAAAGTCAAGATATGGAAACAGCCTCAGTGTCTAC